CTCCCCTCTGCTCTCTTACTGTGAACCTTCCCACTTTCACCTCACTGTCTTGCACCCCTCTAGGTATGACATGAAAGTACTGGGCTACAACCTCATGCAGGCCATGCGCTTCGCGATAGAAGAGATCAACAACCACAGCAGCTTGCTGCCCGGCGTGCAGCTGGGCTACGAGATCGTGGACATCTGCTACCACACCAACAACGTCCAGCCTGTGCTGTACTTCCTGGCACGAATGGACTACCTACTGCCCATCAAGAAGGAGTACAACCAGTACATACCACGTGTGGTGGCCGTCATCGGCCCCGACAACTCGGAGTCCACTATAACTGTGGCCAACTTCCTCTCCCTCTTCCACCTTCCACAGGTGAGCCTCTGGTCCTGGCAGAGGGGCTGGGGTGAGCTCGGAGGGGTGGCTCTGTGGGGGGCTGGGAAGCCCTTCCCCTGTCGCCTTGCGAGCAGGAGCGGGAACATGAGCAAGGTCAGAGCCCATCTTGAGGAGGCAGCTCAGCCTTTGAAGGCCGACAGAGCTGGCAGTGCGTGTTGCCACTGTGAAATCTTTGGCAAATCTCTTGGCCTTCCACACTTCAGTTACCCTATCTGTAAAGTGGGACAGTAACGTTGCCATCCCAGGACTGTCTGCAGGGTGAAGTGTTCCATTTGTACATTTGTAAGAGTGTCCAGCACACAGCAGGCGGCCCATAACACTATCACTGCCAGGTACAGTGCCTAGCGCAGGGACAACAACGCAGAAGGCACTTCATATTACCCTGTACAGTTGCCCAGCGCAGTATCTGTCTCATAGTAGGTGCTCAAAAAATGCTATTAGTCTGACTAATCATGACTGTTATCATCATCAGGATTGAAAGCTCCCAGTTCTGGTAGAGAGTAAAGAGCTACAACACAGTAGGAAGCACAGAGCCCAGGGTCTGGCACACAGTAGGTACTCACTGAGTGCTAGTTATCTGATGTGAAGCAGCTAACCCAGGGCTGAATCTGTTCCTTTATTTATGTAACAACCAGTTTTAAAGTACCTTGTATGCCAGGGAGGATGATAGGTGTGGGGATCCAGCTGGGCACCCACCAAACAGATCCCTGCCCTCCTGGAACACATCTTCCAGTCCAGAGAGACAGACAGTAAACATAAATGAGTGATAGAGTCAAGGGAGCTTGGCTTAATCAGAAAGAGGGAAGCACGGTCCCTGAGCCGGGCAGTGTGGACGGACAGCTTGGGAGGTTGCACGTACAACCCTGAAGCTCGGGACAGAGGTTTGGGCTGGAGTAGAAGACAGAGTTTCCAGTCTGAAAAGAGCAGTAACAGCCAGGAGGCTCGGTGGGATCACCAGGGATGGGGGTAGAAGAAAAGGAATGGTGATACAAGGTGTGCAGTGGTGCATATGCCTGTAATCCCAGCACTCTGGGAGTCAGGAGGGTTACAAGTTTGAGCCTAGCCTGGGCAACTTAACAATTTAAGAAAAATAAAACTAAAACCCCAACAGACCCCTAAGCCTGAGGGTTCAGGAAAGGAGAGGAGAGAGAGCAACCAGTGGTTGTGGGGAAAACCAGACAAGGCTGAGGGAAGGAAGGGGTGGCGGTGCTGAGGAGAAAACTATCCAGGGACACACAGTAGGTGCTCAGAAAGTGTTACCAGCTGATGGGAATGATGATGGTGCATAGCCCAGGGCTGGGGTGTGGCACACAGTAGGTGCCCAAGGAGATGCACTCCGGCATTAGTCATGGTGATGTTGATGTAAAGCACCTAGCCCAGGGCAGCACACAGTAGGTTCTCAGGTGTTACTGGGATGAGCACAGTGATGATGGTTTGAACATCTAGTCTGGGGTGGCTCACAATGATGACTTTGGGGGAAACCCTTGCTGCATCCTGCCCCCCTCCCCATGGACCAGGCATTGGGTGGGGGCTCTCCCTGACCTGGCGACCCCTGGCCTCTGGCAGATCTCCTACAGCGCCATCTCCGACCAGCTGCGGGACAAGGTGCGCTACCCGGCCATGCTGCGCACCGCGCCCAGCGCCAGCCACCACATCGAGGCCATGGTGAAGCTGATGCTTCACTTCCGCTGGAACTGGATCGCGGTGCTGATGAGCAACGACGACTACGGCCGTGACAACAGCCAGCTGCTCCGAGACCGCCTGTCCCGTGGCAACGACATCTGCATCGCCTTCCAGGAAGTGCTGCCCATGCCTCAGCCCCAGCAGGTCATGACGGCGGCAGAGCTGAAGCAGCTGGAGGGCATCCTGGTGAGGCTGAAGCAGGCCACCGCGCGCGTCGTGGTCGTGTTTGCCCCCGAGCTGGCCCTGCACAACTTCTTCAGCGAGGCGCTGCGCCAGAACATCAACGACACCGTGTGGATCGCCTCTGAGTCCTGGGCTATCGATCCCATCCTGCACAACCTCACTGGGCAGCAGAACATCGGGACCATCCTTGGCGTCACCATCCAGCAGGTACCCATGCCTGGCTTCAGTGAGTTCCGTGTGCGCCGCCCCAGGGCCCAACCAGCGAGGCCACTCAAGGACAGCTCGCGGGGCACGTGTAATCAGGAGTGCAACGCCTGCTTGAATGCCACCAAGTCCTTCAACACCATCCTCACGCTCTCCGGAGACAGAGTGGCCTACTGCGTGTACTCCGCAGTCTACGCTGTGGCGCATGCCTTGCACAGCTTCTTGCACTGTAGCTCTAACCACTGCACCAAGAAACCCATCTATCCTTGGCAGGTGAGTGCCCTGCGCGCAGGCGCAGACCGTGACCCCGCGGTCAACGTGGAGACTGTCGGGGGCAACGCCTGGCTCGGCTCTAAACTGGGGGGTGGGGCAGTTCTGGGCAAACGGAATATCCCCTCCCTTGGCGTGCAAAGAGACAGAAGTCCTCTCAGGTGCCAAAGCAAGTCCTTTTTCAATTAGTCACTTCCCAGGCCAGTCTGTCCTCGGAGGTGGGCAGTGGAGGACCCGCACACTGCAGCTGCCTCCGGCTGGGCTCACCGAGGCCTGCCATCAGCTGGGTCTTCCTATTGTGCTGGGCTGGGGCACCTTGATTCGGACCTGGAATTTAAGTCTGTGTTGTTCTGATTTCATACACATCCTCCCGTGGAACCTAGGAGGCTGGAGAAGGTGTGAAGAGGGTCATGCGGGCAGAAGGGATCAAGGTGTACTTACCCTGTGCCTCTAGACAGCTCTGCTTCTTAATAGCTTTCGGCTTTGCCAGCCCAGGCCCAGCCTCCAGCCTTGCTGATCAGCCACTTTCCCAAACCCAGCCCAGCTCCTTTCTTTATTCTCCCCTTCCGTTTTTCTAAATCCCCCTATCCCCAGATAAACGCTCCCTTCTGCTGCAGAGTAATTTATCTGAGTAGGGATGCAGCTCAGTGGCAGAGTGCTTGCCAGACATGCCTAAGACCCCAGGTTCTGTCCCCAGCACTGCAGACACATGAAACAGAAAAATAAATAAATAAAAATCCTTCTTTTTCTATTTTAATTGTACCTATATGTCGTGAGCTCAGTCTAACCTTGCAACTCTAAGCACTTGTCTTTAAAAACTAGGGAGCTATGCTTTAAAAAAGAAATTCTGCTTCTTACTCTGTCTCGCTACATTAGCCACCCACAGAAGTGTCCGGGAAGTTTCACTGTTTTGTAAATGCCAGCCAGGGGGTGCTTGTTCATGCACACACGAGGTCTCACTCAGAGCCACCCTAATGGCTAGTCATATGCAGATGGCAACAGGAGAGGGGTGACCTGGCCATGTGGTGGAGAGCAGCATCCGAGGGGAGCTCTTGGTCCCCACAGTGTGGCCCAGTAGATCCTCCCCTGTGTAGAGCTCAGAGGCAGAGTGAAGGCCTCTACGACAAGCCTCCAGGCTCCACCAGCTGGCGAAGTGCGGAGGACACCCAGTCCCGAGCAATTCTACCTGGTACCTGTGTTGCAGGTTTCTATCACCTTGAAAAAGCCAGGAAGAGTCACTAATCCAACCTCCTCCAGGAAAAGTCCCTGTTCCATGTTCATGCCCACTTGCTCCTGACTGGCTTCCCCATTTCACTCCAATTTAATCAATTTTACCTGAGCGGTTGTGCTTTTAATCTTATTAGTGGACCATAGTTTTGACCCACCTCATGCCCGTCTTGCCAGCTCTCATGCCTTCCACCTTAGATCTGCCTCATCTCATGGTTTTTGCTCGATAAAAAAATCCCTTAAAAGGACAGGTTCCTTGGCAATCCACTTGGGTCCCCTTCTGTCCCTCTCTTGGACAGAAGCTTCCTTTCCCCCAATAAATATATTCTGCTTATAATCTCCATTGTTCCTAAAATTTGTTCTTCGGTTTTAGAGAACACGAGTTCATGCTGGGTATCTTTAAGGCTGAGTATTTCTTTCCTCTATCTATATCATCCTGCTTCTGGGATGTGGGAGAGAATGGAAGGAGCTGACCTGAAGCTGTGGGAGAAAGGAAGGGCCAGGGAGTAGGGACAACCCCTGATGGCCTTTGCAGGTGACAGGGACACAGACTGTGGGCCCCTGAGTATTGACCAGTTTGACTTTCAAGGAAAAGGATGAGGCCAAGTTTCTTAGGCATCATTAATTTTAAGCCCCTAACATAGATGAGTGCATTTCTTGCTTCAGAGCCCAGCAAGTAGGGTCACACTATTGCCTCTTTGTAGGAGAGGAGACTGAGATTCAGAGAGGTTAAGTATCAGGTGCAATTCTGCACAGCAAGGGACAGAGCTGAGGCCTAGACCCAGGTGCGTCTGCTTCCAGAGCTCTCTGAGCTGCCCCATTTGTCAGCCGCGGGGGTGAAGGTGGCGGGGTGCTAGGCTCACCCGACTCTACTCCTCTTCCTTCTGACCCCTGCAGCTGCTGAGAAAGATTCGGGAGGTCAACTTCTCCCTCCTGGACAATCAGATCTTTTTTGATGAGCAAGGGGATGTACCCATGCACCTGGACATTGTACAGTGGCAATGGCACCTGAGCCAGAACCCTTTCCGGAGCGTCGCCTCCTACTACCCCATGCTGCAGCAGCTGAAGATGGTTGGCGACATCATCTGGCACACCTCCCACAACAGGGTGAGCTGGGGGTGGCGAGAGGGGTGGGCAGGGCCAGGATGGCGGGGGCCAGGGCCTTTCTTATCTGGGAAGTTCTTAGCAGTCTCCGGCAGAGTCTCCCATTTGGCTGTAGCGTTGGGCCCTAGCCTCTCCCACTAAGAACTGTGGGAGTTCTGGGGTAGCCAACTCCCTAGGTGGAGTCAAGCTTTGATGAGCTTGTGTGTGCTGGGGCTCAGGCTGAGGACTTCGGGTCAGCCCCTAGTTCCCCATATAGCATTGACTAGGATGCTGGAGGCACGGAGGGGCTGTGCAGGGGAAGTTCCAACACAAGCATTTCGGGGCCATCTTGTCATTGGATGCCTCTCTTGTTTTGTGGTGGAAGATGTGTCCCACATCCGTCAACCTGAAGATCTCTAGTTTTACCCTCTTTAGAGAATAGACCTTGGGGGTTGTGCTAGAGTAGGGCAGGATCAAGACAAGCCTTGTAGTGGTGGGAAGGGAGCCTGGAGATGCTTTAAAGCATCTCACAGCACCTTCATCACTCTCCTGTGACAGTATCCTGTCCCTGGCCCCAGTGCCTTCTCCTCGCCCCCAGATGATATCCAGTCTCTCTGGCTGCTGGTCCCTGGGCTTCTGGAGGATTATGGTGAAGAGCAGGGGCTGGTGCTGTTGTTCCAGTCTTGCACAGCAGTGGGGCAGTTGCACAAACGCAGGGTTGAGACGATGGAAATCCCTCATCTCGCAGCTCCACAGCCTGGAAGTCTGAGATCAAGGAGCTAGCAAGTCTGGTCCTTGCTGAGGGCTTTGGATCAGCTGCTCCAGGCCTTGCGCTTGGCTTCACAGATGTTCCACCTGCACCTCTGCTTTCACCTTTGTGGGGTGCTCTCCCTATGTGCGTGTCTTGGTCCAAATAGTCCCCACTGTAAGAATACCAGTTAGGGACTGGGTTATACATCGGGTTAGGGACTACCCTATTCCAGTATGACTTCATCTGAGTTAGTTATAGCGGCAATGACTGTTCTTGAAGCGGGTCAAATACTGAGAAGGTTAGTTCAATTACAGTTCAATATGTAATGGTGTCCTCCCAGAGGGCTGACCAGATAGCTCAGAAGATTAAAGCATCCGTTTAGGGGCTGGAGAGATGGCTCAGTGGTCTAAAGCACCTACTTGAAACAAGCTTGGCAAAGCACAGGGACCGCGGTTCGATCCCCAGCACCACATGCCAG